AATACATAGATCAATTTGGGGATCAATGCCATTTAGCAACCCATAAACATAGGCTATCTTTCAAATATTTAGACCCCCTTTGATCTATTTCAACAATATTGTGCATGTACAAATGCAAAATATTTGTGGGTTTTTTTCTTCTTTTTTCTGGGAGTCACACCCGGCGATGCACAGGAGTTACTCCTGGTTCATGCACTCAGGAATCACTCCTGGCCGTGCTTGGGGAACCACATGGGATGCTGGGAATCGAACCTGGGTTGGCTGAGTGTAAGGCAAATGCCCTACCCACTGTGCTATTGCTCCAGCCCCCAAAATATTTGACTATGTACAATCTTGCACTTCTTTTCTTAAATTTATTTGTGGTATTTGATTCTTTCTATGGAACTTACTATAAATGGAACTGTTGGCTTAATTTACTTTTTAGATTGCTTATTGCTGCTGTATTATATTATTGCTACCACTCAATTTTTTAAGTGTTATGTTAATTAACCGGAGTGATAGCACAGCGGTAGGGCATTTGCCTTGCACGCAGCCAACATGGCCGACCCGAGTTCGATTCCTCCGCCCCTCTCGGAGAGCCCGGCAAGCTACCGAGAGTATCTCGCCCACATGGCAGAGCCTGGCAAGCTCCCCGTGATGTATTCGATATGCCAAACACAGTAACACAAAGTCTCCAGTGGAGACGTTACTGGGCACGCTCGAGCAAATCGACGAACAACGAGAGGGCCTTTACTTTACTTTATGTTAATTAAGACAATGTGTTTAACAGTAGTATTTAAAGTTTTGGTCTTGGGGTGCACAGTCATGTCATCTCCTCACCACCAAGTGCCCAACACCCCCAAGCCATGCCCTTTTGTCACCTCCAGCCCACCTACCCTCACCCCAATCTGGTATTCTCATCAGACAACTTATTTTTCAATATCAATATTTTTTAAACCGCCTCTTATTTAATATTGTATCCTGCACACTTGCTAACTTAAGATTCTAATAGGTTGTTTTTTGTAGATTCTTAGAAGTTGCATAACCATGCAGTCAACGAACAGAGGTCATTTCACTCCTTCCTATCCTGCTTGGATTCCACTTAGTCCTTCTGGCTACAATTTCTAGTATAATGTTAAGTAGAAGTGGAGAGAGCAAGCAATTTGTCTTGTGACTGATGTTGAATGCAGTACTTACTTGTCATGGATGCTGAAGCAGTCAGTCTTCTCCCATTAAGCTGAGTGTTGAAGTGTTGGGTTACACGGGAGATGCCATTTGCCAGGTTTAGGAATTCCAATTTGCTCCTTAGTGCACTGTTTTTTCCCCCTCATTAAAAGGGTATGTTGGGGCTGGAGTGATAGTACAGTGGGTAGAGCATTTGCTTTGCATGCGTCCGGCCCAGGTTCGATTCCCAGCATCCCATATGGTCTTCTGAGGAGTAATTCCTGAGTGCATGAGCCAGGAGTAACCCCTGTCTGTGCATGGCCAGGTATGACCCAAAAAGCAAAAAAAGAAAGAAAAGAAAAGAAAAAGAAAAGAAAAGAAAAGGGTATATTGTATTTTGCCAAAAGACTTTGTAGCATTTGTTGAGATAATCATGTAGCTTTTGGGATTTTGCCCTTTACTGATATATAACACTGATTATTTTCAGATTATAAACTAACCTCTCATTCCAGGGATAAATCCTACTTGGTCCTTGTACATGGTTCTTTTTGTATGTTGCTCATATCAGTTCTATGTCATTTTCTTGAGGAATTTTTGCCTTTATATTCATGAGGTCACTGTCACTCCCATTGTTCATTGATTTGCTCAAGCGAGCTCAGTAACATTGTGAGACTTGTTAACTGTGTTTGGCATACCGAGTACTCCATGGGTAGCTTGCCAGGCTTTGCCTTGCAGGTGAGATACTCTCAGTAGCTTGCCAGGCTCTCCGAGAGGGGCAGAGGAATCGAATTCGGGTGGGCCATGTTGGCTGCGTGCAAGACAAATGCCATTCGTGAGGTCTTTTTCTTTACTATTTTTTGGTGATGTTGGTTGTAGCGGCTTTGTGAATGAGTTGGGAAGTATTCCCTCCTCTCTGGCATTTGGGAAGAGTTTGTGAGGGATTGGCATTAATCTTTCAATATTCTAATTTTTCTTCTTTGTGGCCTCCTTGCAGTTGCCTCTTTGCTATTTATTGTAAGATTGCAAGTGTGGCTTGTGAATGGGGACAGGAAAGTGGTGTTTATACTGATTATCCCCCTGAAGTACAATTGACAGTGAAAGAATGGGACTCTAATAAATGGTTTAGTCTTCATTCTGCCTATTTCTGGTAAGCAGGGCTAGATCATTTACCTCTGGAGATCTTGCTTCATCGCGCAATCCAAGAACTTTAATGATTTGAATTCACAACCACGGTTGGAGGAGGTCTCTCGCCACCCTCCCTCTGTCCAGCCTTGGGCACACACGCACCTGGCCCCTTGCCCCGTGTTCAGATCTCCTGCTGTGACTTATTAGCGCATAGGGGTTGAGAAACATCATTTAAAAGGACCTTTAAGAAGTGTTAAACTGACCTCTTGAGTCAGAGTGTCTGAGAACAAGGAGAATTTGTTGAATCCCAGACATCACGTAAGGTAAAAGGAATAATAAATAGATTGTCTTCCTACATATTTCAAATTATGTTGGTCATTAATCACTCCACCAACTCAGTGGGGGGCGGGGGGGAGAAGCAGCACAGAAGGAACAATCACAACAGCCGGTGTTTACGAAGTCATGACCTTGTGCCAAACATGGTTTTCAACCTTTGTCTGTTTCATTATCTGTGCTGCTCCTCATGGCAATGTTATGAGGTCTACAAGGTCTCCACTGACAGGACTTGGAGATATGGATCTGTGGGAAAAGAGTTTGTCTCTGTTGTTAGGATCCTGCAGGGATAGAGAAAGGGAGAGGCTGAACCCAGGCCCGGGGACATCCAGAACCCAAAGTGAAGTTGGATTAGGGTTTGCAGAACAAGGCTTCACACTCAGGGTTTCTGTAGTATGACTTTCAAGTTTTGAGTCATCTGTCTCTTTCTTGAGAGCAGAACATTCATCGGCATTTAAGAAGTGTGTGTGAAGGGCATATTTGGATGATGTGAAGGATGGGACTAGATTGTCTTTCTCTGTAGAGGTAATGTAACAGACAACTCCATAAACTTAACTGCAGCATTTATTGGGGACTTCATGTTAAGAAGCAGAGTGGGTTGAATTGAACCAAACCTGCACAATAAACCAAAATGTAGGAATTCTGAAGATGTCCCCACCTTGCTAGATGAAGCCACAGAGACACAGAGACCTCCCTCACTCGGCAGAATTGGCAGTAAGTGGCACAGCCCAGACTTGATGCCAGACAGACTGGTCCCCTGAGACGTTTGGTCTGCTGTTTCTCTAAGAAAATAAGCAGTCACTTCACGGGGTGCTTCTCACTCAGGTCCCCTAAGGTCCCTCAGGATATTCCAAGGAAGCTACAGGTGAAAAATCGAGGGGAGGCCATGGCATGAGGCCAAGAGCCAACCATAGAAACGGGTGGGGATGGGGGTCAGGAAACAAAGCTGGAAGGGGTCACTCAGGGATGAGCTGGCTCTGTGTGTTCCTGCACCTGCAGGCGAGAGTCACTGCAAAAAACCTGAAGGTGCTCCATTGTGTAGATGTACCAAAATGGTGGTGGAAAATGGGCACTGGTGGAGGGATTGATCATTGTATAATTGAAACCCAAGCACAAAAATGTGTAAGTCTACAACTGTATCTCATGGTGTCTCGCTAATAAAAATAAAAATAAAAAACAAACTGAAGGTGAGTCAAGGCTCTTCTGTAAATCAGAAACAGGTAAAAGCAAGGACAGTAGGGAAACAGTTGGATGGTCTGCGGGCTGCTGTCAGCTGTGTCTCGCTGTGGGAATTGATTGCTGGGCTGGGCTTGCTTTGGAAAACTTTTGGTCTCCAGGGAGCCTGGGGTGGGGTGAGGCGGGGGGGGGGGGCGGGGGTATCTGGGAGTGTTTGGTGTTTGGATTCGTGTCTACAGGTGAAAGAGGAATGGTGGGGAGGAACAGTTTGGGAGATGGCATTTGATGCGCTCCATTAGTAGGTAGAGAGATGAGACGGCAGAGTAGATTCATGGAAACGGATTGCGAATGTTTCTGGGAAGGTCACACGCATCTGGAAATGAGCAGGAAATGTTCTACCAGTTGGACTGACCTACTTCTCTGTTGGGGTCCAGATCGTAGTAAAATCGGGTGGGGGGAGAGGGCGCAGGGATAATTCAGTTTCCCAGACATTGTTTCGGCATTCCAAGACCATATTCTCTGAGTGGTGTTAGAACTAAAAGATGAGACGTCTGTGTTTGGGGGCTGATGGGAGAGAGAAGGGAGCTGGGTGGCTCTGGGCCAGACTTACCCCAGGCACATGGTCTTCCATGTCTCACCAAAAGGCCACAGAGCTCCCGGGGTGGCGCATGTCTTGGTCACTAAGGCACCGTTGAGAGTTTGAGGCAATTTCTGCTGGCTTTGAGGCAATTTCCCTTGTGGAAAGGCTCATGCAAATGAGTAGACTCAACCCCACAGAACAAACAAAAAACAAAACAAACACACACTGTCCTCCCGTTGTTCATCGATTTGCTCGAGCGGGCCCAGTAACGTCTCCATTGTGAGACTTCTTGTTACTGTGTTTGGCAACTGAATACTCTCGGTAGCTTGCCAGGCTCTCTGAGAGGGGGGCAGAGGAATTGAGCCTTGCTCGGCCAGGCTGGCTGCGTGCAAGGCAAACGCCCTACCGCTGTGCTATCACTCCAGCCACAGAACACGTTCCTAGAAATGATCAGCCAGCCGTGGCTCCAAAGCTACTTTGAACAGTAAGGTGGGGAGGGTCGGGCTGGCGAATCACCTTGGAGCCCAAAACAAATCATTATCATCCACTTCTGCTAGGCCTTGTGGACTCCCAAGGAGAGGGGTGAGCACTGCGGTGGTGCCTGGGGCTCGGATGCAGGCAGTGACCCGTCTCTCTCCCACAGCCCTCACACAGGCATGCAGGAGTACCAAGAGAACGTGCCCAAGATCCCTGCTGCCTGCATCACCGTGGAGGATGCGGAGATGATGTCCCGGATGGCCTCACAGGGCCATCAAGTCATCGTTCACCTGAAGATGGGAGCCAAGAACCTCCCAGATGCAGATTCCTTCAACACCGTGGCTGAGATCGTCGGCTGGAAGTACCCAGACGAAGTAAGTGGGGGCAGTGCAGGGGGGGGTGTCGGGGCACGGGCTGGTTTGCTTTTATCCAGAGCAAACACAGGCCAGTGAGAGCTGGTGTCTTCAGGAAATCCTCCTTCAAGAGGTGGGTGCCCACACCCCTCCTCAAAAAAAAAAAAATTCTTCCTCCACTGACTCAGCTGAAGGACAGAAGAGGTCCAGAGATCCAGGGTGAGAGCTGGGTGTCAGCCTCCAACTGCTTCAGTTCCCCTGAGAATGAGGCTCCTTGAAATCTGGATGCAAAATTAGCAGGTGAAACTGCAGCGCCCCCTGAAGCCAATAGTGTTGGCGGCGCAGCTTGAGGGAGGCAGTTCCAGAGGCCCCGTGTCGCCATCCAGGCCTGGCCCTGGCTCTTCTCTGGCACCCGGGGATGCTGTCCTTGATCCTTGGTCCATGCTGGGCCCTCGTGGGTTCTGTCCCTCAAGTTTACCACTGTCTCCACCGTATGTTGCCAGGTCTGAGGCCTGTCCCTTGAGGACTGTAGCCCCACAGCTCTGGGTCCCTTTGGCATCGTGGGGTTCTGACGGCAGGGGAAGAGTGGAGCCTGCCTGCTACCCACCAGGGCACAGGTCAAGAGAGAAACTGCCGTTCATCCGCCCATCCAGGCATGGGGTCCAAGAGGTGACCTCAGCTGTGTTCCTCGGTGTGGTCTTATTCTTCCCGCAGCCTTACTACTTCCATTATCTGTCAGGAAAGCTACCCTTTATATCAGTGAAGTTAAAAGTGAGATATCGGGGGCCGGAAAGATAGTACAGAGGTAGGCTCTTGTCTTGCACGTGGCCGATCCAAGTTTGATCCCAAGCACAGAACCAGGAGTAAGCCCTGAGCACTGCCGAGTTATCCCCAAATGACCAAAATCAATGACTCGAGCGACTGATTGGGTTAGCTGGATGTCTCCCACCCTGCTGGAATTGGGGAGTCTGACCTGGGCACCCGTGGGCAGCTGACCACTTCCCTCTGTACTGTGTGAACTGTCTGATTTGATCCTTTCAGCCCCACACGGGCAACTCTGAGCCCTTTGTGCCAGGCGAAGAGACGGGCAGAGCAGCCCCGCTGGTGTGCGGAAAGAGACTCCCACCACCCTCTTGACAGGCATTTTTCTGAGTTCGATTGTTAAAGTTTGGGTCTCTTGATTTCAGTGTTGTTGACTGTGTGGTTCCATCTTTCCTGAACACCAGCTTTGTGTCGCGATTTCCTGACCCGGCCCTTTCTTCCCATCTGTCCCTTGCCCACCCCCATCCAAGGTGCCTTTCTTTCCTTCTCCTCCCTATAGCCTGGGGCCAAGGTTGATCTGGGCATCCCTCCTTTAAAACATTGCATTCCCACATCCAGTTACTGCAGATATCACGTAGAAGTGAGATCTTCCCATGCTTATCCTTCTTCTTTCTGTCTTATTTCATTAAACATGCCCTTTCTTTCTTTCTTTCTCTTTCTTTCTTTCTTCCTTCCTTCCTTCCTTCCTTCCTTCCTTCCTTCCTTCCTTCTTTCTTTCTTTCTTTCTTTCTTTCTTTCTATCTGGCAACAGTAAAACAATAGTTCCCAGTAACAGAGTTCTATGATTACATAGGCTATCTGTTCCTTTCAGTTACCAAAAGACAATTTCTGGGGCATTGTAACTGAGTCATAGTGATTGATTAAGCATCCCCACAGGATTCCTCTGAGGGCAGCTCCGTGTGGACACTGAGGAAGACGGCAAAGCCACTCAGGCATCATGTGGAATTTCCACTTGAGAAACTAAAAGGTGCTGTGTCAGTCCAGGGAGAAGTGGGGTGCCCAGCCTCCCTAGGCCTCCCCTTCCCAGGTCATTCTTGCCCCCTGACTTTCTGGCACTGCGTTCTCAGTTGAAGTTGGGTCCAGCAAGAGTGGGTGAAGAGCTTGAGGCTTCCCCTGTCTCCCCCCCTCGCCTCAGCCCATGGGAGCCACAGGCGTGGCTTTCTGGCACAGGGCCAACCCCAGCTGTGAGCTCCGTGGCACCTTGGTGCTCTGGCCCAGCGGTGCTGGGTCCCCCCACCCAAGCTGCTAGCTGGGCAGAGGCATATGTGGTGCTGGGATCCAACCTGAGCCCTTTGAGGCAGAAATACAATTATTTTTTGGAGGGGGAGGTGGTTTCTGAGCGCTCCCAGTGGTGCTCAGGGCTTACTCCTGGCTCTCTGCTTACTCTTGGGGGTGCTCAGGAGATCATATTCAAGCTGGGGATTGAACCTGAGCCCTTAGAGGCAGAAATGTTTGATTTGGGGGTTTCAAAGTTTTTTTGTTGGTGGTGGATGTAGTGTTCAGCCCCACACGATGGTGCTCAGCTCTGACCCCCGGCTCTGTGCTGAGGGATCACTCTTGGAGGTGCTCAGGAGACCATAGGGGGTAGGGGGGCTGAGGACCAACCTGGGTCAGCTGTCGGCAGGGCAGGCACCCCACCCACTGTATTCCCTGTCCAGAACTGAACGTGTTATAACCCAACTACGTTCTGCATGGCCACATGCTGGGCAACTGAATATTTATTTTTTTATTAGTGAAACACCATGAGGTACAGTTGTAGACTTACAAACTTTTGTGCTTGGGTTTCAGTTATGCAATGATCAAGTACCCGTCCCTCCAGCAGTGCCCATTCTCCACCACCAATAATCCTAGTAGCCCTCCCACCCCCACACCCCATTTCCCCCCATCCCTCCTCTGTGAATTTTTTAACCTTTTTTTATTTGATTTGATTTTTTATTTTTTAATATTTATTAGTGAAACACCATGAGGTACAGTTGTAGATTTACAAATATTTGTGCTTGGGTTGTAATTACACAATGATCAAACACTCATCCCTCCAGTGCCCATTTTCCACCACCACGGATCCCAGTATCCCTCCCACCCCCATCCCCTTCATCCCATCCTGCCTCTGTGGCAGGGCATTCCCTTTTGTTCTCTCTCTCCTTTTGGGTGTTGTGGTTTGCAAGAGAGGCATTGAGTGACAATCATGTTTGGTCTATAGTCTACTTTCAGCATGCATCTCCCATCCTGGGAGGATCCTCCCAACACCCTTTACTTGGTGCTCCCTTCTCTATCTGAGCTCCCTTTTCCCCTAGCATGTGTGGCTGGCCTCCAAGTCATGGAGCAAACTTCCTGGTACTAATCTCTGCTATTTTTGGGTGTTAGTTTCCTATTTTGTTACTTTATGTTCCCCAGAAGAATGCAATCTTTCTATGTCTGTCCTTCTCTTTCTGACTCATTTGCTTTTAATATGATACTGTCCATGTAGTACCACTTGTATGTAAATTTCATAACTTCGTCTTTTCTAACAGCTACATAGTACTCCATTGTGTAGATGTACCAAAGTTTCTTTAACCAGTCATCTGTTCTCGGGCATTCAGGTTTCTTCCAGATTCTGGCTATTGTAAAGAGTGCTGCAATGAACAAACAAGTGCAGATGTCACTTCGACTGTACATTTTTGCCTCTCTGGGATAGATTCCCAGGAGTGGTGTTGCTGGGTCAAATGGGAGCTCAATTTCTTACCTGTGAATTTTTTAAAAGAGACATTGCCTGGATGGATGTGTCATTCCTTGCCCTCCTTCCATCTTCAGCTTTTGACTGGCACTGGCCAGTGGAGCCCCACGCCCGGAGCCCTAGCTGTGTCCCACCCATGCCCCACTGTGCCCCAAGGTAGCGACTGCCCCCTTGCAGACACTCCATGGATTGTCTTCTGCTGGGATTTCACGTAAGACTGACGCCTTGCTCACTTGGAAAATAGAGTCAAGTGAACAGAACTTCCACTCGGAAACACACCGACTGCCGCTCTCCACATCTGGTTGCCGTTGCTTTCTGGGTAGTTTCTCTCTGAATATTTCATGGCATCATATTTCATCGTGTCAGATCTATTTTTTTCTTTCTCACTCGGCAAAACAGATTCTTTCAACTAGAAATTTCAGCCTCCAAGTTATTCTAACAAATGGGTATTCCATAACTTCCCTAAACCTGTTATTAGAGGTTTGCACTGCACATTAATCTTGGGGTAAAAGTAATGTGATTTCTCAACAAAAATTCAGCAGGGCCATTCTGAAGCTGCCTTATGAGCCACTGACGGCCTTGGCTGAAATGGGGCAATTTTAAATAATAATCCACAGGCCGCCGTGGTGGGAGCCATTCAGGGGCGATCTCTTCCGGCCGGGAAGCTGCCGGGGCCTCTGCGAGAGGACGCTGGCCACACACTGTGGTCCCCTCCACCACGGCGCTGGTTAAATTAAACACGGATGATTCCACGAAGGGCGTTATTATTCTGCGCACATTCTTGACTCCTCATTTCAGGCTAAACTAACTTAATTTAACGTCATGTGGATTTTTAGCTGCAGTTACGGCCCCTTCATGCCTGCTTTTCCTTCGTCATGCCCCATCTCTCTGCAACATTACCATACTTCCAAATTGACTTTGACCCGCTTGGTCAGTAGAACTTTCTCCTGTTTTTCTCTCTGCCTCGACGCACGCGAGGTCTTTGGGTCCACGCCGTAACCCAGCACGTGGCTGTTTTCTTAATGAATCTCCAGAAACGAGCTTAGATGGCAGAGCACAAGCGTGACTCAAGAGATTTGCACCACGGGATTTCCTGTCCACAGGTTCTCGTGTGGGCGACAGGGGACCCCATTCCTCGCCTCTGCCCTGTCTCCCCCTCATCCCAAACAGTGGGGTGACCCTCCAGCTGACCAGTGAGCCTCTCTCTCGCATGCCTGCTGGGGCAGCCGGAGCTGGGACTGGAGTCACAGGACAGCAGGTAGGACACTTGCCTTGGACACTGCCGGCCTGGTTCCACCCTCAAAACCCTAGATGGTCCCCTGTGCCTCCCCAGGAGGGACTCCTGAGCACAGAGCCAGGAATAAGCCCTGGGTCTGGCACGAAAAACAAAACCAGTCCAAGTGGGTCCTGGGGACACAGCTCTGTAGAAAGGCACTTACTTGGCATGCGTGAGGCCCCGGGCTCCGTCTGGCTCTGTGTGGCCCTG